TGTCGCATTGTTAGAAATCCAGGAAAATTTTTATAAGTAAGTGAATTTGTCTACTTTTTGCATGTTATTAGTCTACATTCTTTGGTGCATTATTTAATTAAATAAAAAGTGTTAAGTGCTTTACTAGAATTACTATAAAAAATCAGGCTTAACTCTACTCGACAATCAAGGGCAAGAAAAAAGATTGGGTGAGTACTTTATTTCTTGTTTTTCATATTTATTCGTTATTATTATAAAGTAACTAAAATAAAAAATACAAATCTTTTTATATTATTTAAGACTAGATTAGGTAAAATAAGTAATAATAATAATATAATTAGAATGGTTCACGAGACACCCACATGAGCAGCTCATGGGTAATGTAATTTGATAGCGTAATGTGAGCTGCTTATAGGGAGCAATCAGTAGGACTTGACAAGGAGTGAAGCGGACAAGAGAAATCACCCAATGAAATAATTGGATGGGTAGGTACACCTAAAGATACTTGTGCAACCAATCCTGGCTGAAGGCATCAACTGCTAGAGACTATAGATGAGGTACAGGTGACCAAATAGAGGTAACTTGATGTTGAGACCTATAGCAAGAGCATCCACATGAGGAGAACCCCACTGATGGCAAAGATCCCTGAAAATGAGGAGATCTAATGCCTACTCCATGGGATATATCCAGTCAGGGTGCAAAAGACGATCTGCAACCAGAATAAAAGCACCCACCATATGACATGCAATAAAGCAAATGTGATATGTGTGGGCCCAGTATTATAGATCCAACATCTGAAAACATAGATTTCTAGACTGGGTGCCCCCTTGGTGGTTGATATGTGCCACCACTGTAAAATTGCCCAAATGAGCCATCACCAGACAATGTTGGGCAAGAAGAAGGAAGTGATGCAATTCCTGATGTGCAACTAAAAGTTCAAGAACACTGATATGCAAAGCACTTTCATCCACAGACCAATGGCCTGAAACTTCCTGGTAATTGACCCATGCCCCATATACTTGAAGGGATGCATCCATGAAAAGATAGAGATCCTGATGTGAAGGAGGAAGTGGCATGCCCACCAATGTATGGGCTTTGTCCAGCCACCAATGCAGATCATCTCACAGGGAAGGAGGAAGGGAAATTGAGTGGAAAGAGGATCCCGAGCAAGTTTTCATCAATCGTGAAGCACCCACTGAATGGATCTCATGTAGGCACAACTGAGAGGGACCAGTGCTGTTATGAAAGACCACATCCCCAAAAGCGATAGAACCTCACGAGTAGTAAGTGATTGAGCCAAAAGGGCATGGTAAACCAAATGTTCCACTGATTGAAGTTGTAAAAGAGAAGGCAGTGCTCAACTGATATTTGTGTCAAAAAAGACCTCCAAATGAGTGGCTCTGAGGAAGGACTTCTTTAATTTGATCAACCAACCCATCCAAGCTGCCACACAAAGTAGCTGCCAAGTATGATTGGCCGATTCCTGTTTGAAATGAGCCAGAAAAAGTCAGTCATCCATGTAATAATGAAATCACAGACCCAGAGCATTGAAATGGTGTGTAAAAACCCAGACTATAATTGACAAAACAAGTAAGGTGCCACCGAGGCAAGTCTGAAGGGGAGGGCTTGAAATTGGTAAACCACCCCTAGATGGACAAACCAAAAAAAAGGACAAGACTGAGGTGATATTGGTATATGTAGGTAAGCATTGGTGACATCAATTTTTGTCATCCATAACCCAGAAGAAAACGCCCATCTCAGGATGAGAAAAGACTCCATGTGAACTCCAGTAATCATATGAGGCAGCTGAGGTGAGATAAATCAATTACCAGCTGCCAATCCTCAGTTTTCTTGGGGACAACGAAAAAGTGGGAATATAAACTCCTAGAAAAATGGGGAACAAGTTTGATTGCCTGTTACAAGAGCAATTTCTGAACTGCTTCTGACAGATGCTGGCTGGTCACGGGACTTCAAGGAGGAGGAAAGGAAATGGGGAAAGGAGAAATCAGAGGTGGGGAAAGAAACTGAAAAACAAATCCTTCTGACAGAACCTGAAGCACCCATTGATCATCGATGAAGGGACACCAGCAATTAAGAAACTTGAACAGTGGAGTCCCCACTGGACCCAAATCCATTGGACAGTTCACAGTACTGTTGGCGACAGGGGTGCATCATCAAGGAATGTGATAAGAAGAAGTACACTAAGTAGAAGGAACGGGTAAGGGCTGGGAAATACGGGAATTGGAGGCATATAAGGCTCTGACTGAGACAAAGAGGCTACAATATTCATAAGGGTGGATTGTGGGTGGGTCAATGTAACCAGAGGCTCGATAGTTTCCAGGACCGTATCAAAGACATGACATCTCAGAAATAGGGCCATACATAAATCCTTGAGATATGTCAAATGTAAATGAACTCGAGCCAGAGCTGAAGATGATATGTGGGCTAAAGTAGAGGAGAGAAGGGCAAGGGTATCTGCAGAAAACCCCTCAGGATTTCTGTGGAGAGCCTCAGCTAGGAGGTGTATGGAAGAAAGATACCATAAGAGGCTGGTAAGGGTAAGACATAGGCAAGAATTTTGGGCATAGGTAAGACTGGCATTTGACTATTTGGGAGCTAACAACTGTTGATCTAAAAATGGATAGTCTGCCTGATGGTAAGAAACGGTGAACTGATCAGAAGTCTTCAGGGGGCATAACATGATAATCCCCTCTCCAATTATAAGACAAATTGATCAGCATGAACCCAAATACTAGGGGAGGGAGGAAAAACCAAAAAGGGTTGGGAAGATTGTTTATGTAATAAGGAAGGAGAAGGTGAATAAGAAATAGGTGAAAAGGATAAAACATCACAAACCTGAGACACAAAATCCAGAAAGACTGAATTAGGTTGAGGTGATTCCTCAGATTGGGCAGAGAAATATGATCAAAGTCCTCTTCAGCCTGTACATGCTCAGCCAGCTCAAAAGAAGCCTGGGCAATGTCTGGGGACAAAGGTTAGCCCATGTAACATTTAATCTCTCAAAGTATAAAAGCAGATAAATCCATTGTCGGGTTGCCCACACCTGAGGCCTGAGAAAAAAACACTGGTCCCTGATGTAACCCCAAAGTGGTAATGTTAACTTCAGAATTCATTACACAGAAAAGATTCACCGAATCCGAGTGCAAATATAAAGCAACTACAATTAACTGATAAATACTAATATAGAAATTAGGTTGAATGAAAGCAAATTAATTCGAAAAATAACCAGTTTCTGAGGGAAGCATTAAGCATACAAATGAACACGTCTGAAGTCAAATGCTGCTAAATGAGAAGTGATAGTTCGGTAGAGGAATGTAAAGGGAGTCATGTGCATCATGTGAGCATATCATGCTCCTATTGGTTAGGAGGTGATGCATGATGATTTGCATGAGAGACATGTTGGAATATAGCAATTCCAATAGGGGGAGCAGAAGACTTGTGGCATGCATAAAAAACTTTGCATATAGAGGGCAGCACTGAATGAGAATAGCTAATCTTGTGAGGGGAGGTAAGTACCACATTGGAACCAATTTGTCAATGTAGCAAGAGGAGCATGATTCATTATATGGTATAAAGAACCTTTTCTCAGCCTTCATGAATGATTCAGTACATATCAGACAACAAATACCCTTATTGGGTATAAAAAATGTTCTTTAAAATGAGAATCAAAATCAGATAGTATAGGTAACGTAACAGGTGAAATACAATCATTACCTTCTCTGCAGTTCAAGTTTTGACAAAAAAGTGCAAACTGAGTACAAGTGTAAGGCTTTTGCAGAAAACAAAGTATGTGAAGCATAAAACATAAAGATATCAGAATGTCAACTGCAATAAGATAATAGTTCCTTCCCCTTTTTTTATCATCATAATCATCATGAAAAATGAGTAGCTGCTCCAGAATTTAGCATCCACATAAACATGAAACCAACCAGGGACACCAAGTGACAAAACTGAAATAATGACCTCAATGTGTTGATGATCAATATGAGCCAACAATATAGCCATGGGATCTCCCTTTACAATAGAGACAAACTACATGAGTAAGGCCTCCAAATAAATTGCTAAAATTTCTAATATTGATAGAAAAATTATTAGCAATAGTTAAATCTTCAGAAGCCATAGTGAATGAAGGTAATAGCACAAATGTCAACAATAAAATTTAGTTTATGGCAGGAAAGCAGGGTTGTTGTAAGTTCTCCTGACACAAGTGCAAGGTGAGACAGTGGAGTATTCTGGGCAAGTTGACATTAAGAATTTGAAGTACTGTGGCTGTTGACACCATAATAGAAACTCAATAAAAAAAGGTTTTAGTATTTTCTTACTGAAGAATAAAAGATTCATTAGAAAATAAGCAAAATGTAAAGATTAGAACTATTAAGTAATTTATAAATTAATGAAGCCAAAACTGATTAAATTGACTAAAAGTATTTAATTACATATGAAAACTACAACCTATACTGACTACAAATATGATGGTATAATACATGTACTTAAATAACTCTACATCTTGTAGAAAGATGTGCATTCTTCAATAAATAAATAAATAAACCTTGGTCAAAAAAGGTACTCAAACAGTTGGGAGTTATCATATGAACTCTGGTTAGGAAAAGTGCACTAAAAGTAATTACATTACCACTCAATGCTATGGCATTATACTGTTTAAAATTCACACCAATTGCTAAATTGAAATTGTAATTTCATTATACAAATACAGTATAAAGCTTCTTTTGGTATTTGTTTTTATTAGCATTTAGTGAAAAACTAGGTTGACAACCTTACATAAGGGATTTAAGATGTAATGCATTTTCATCACTTTAATAATGGTTTGTCTATAAATACTTATTAAGAATGACTTTAACTTAGGAGTGCATTTTTCTACCACTGTAACTAGCAGGAAAAGGGCATAGAAGAACAAAATAATACTAATAACTAATTGATAGCAGGAAAAATAAAATTCTCAAAAATATTTAATAGAATGTATATTACACTGTTTTACCCACTCTGATGTCTTGAGACCAAATTCTGACTTCTTTTCCATTTCTAATGACAGAAACATCTGTGTGATTCACTGAGCGATCAGTTTTGTGCCTCTGCCAATCTTCATAGCCTTGTTTGATAGCAGTTATAGTTACCACAAATGTTAGTGGAGTTAAACTGGTCAGTGGGCTGACGGGACTGTTTATACTTAGCTGTACATATAAGAAAGAGAGAATAAACATCACTAATGTAATTATGAATTAAGAAATAGCAACTACATACATACTGACTTCAACTAAGTTAGAAAAGTTTACTAGTTTACATTAAATCTGTAGAGAATGGTCAGGCTATGTGTCAAAAGACAATTCCAATTAATACTTTCTTTTTAAACTTATATATGTATAAAACTATGAATATAAGCAGTGAAATATTACATAAAATATATTACATATTCAAGTTATGAAGCCAGTTTTTATGTAGGCTAGACAATGATTTCACTGAAGAAACATGCTTAGTTTTACTCTTGTATTTGGATAATACTATCAACTAGAATTTGTAAATACCTGGTAAGTTTAGATGGAAAGATACTTCATGTAGCACAATGTTTTGAAGAAGTTATGAAAAAAAAATATTTGCAACAAAAGTAACTATTATGTTAAGTATAGCTAAAAAAAACAGCTTAACATTTTCTGTAACATAAAGCATGTGCCAAAGATGTACCCTCACAGGACCTTATACACTACAGTATTAAAATGTGTTTTTTGATATGAAGAATAAAATAAAATAAAAATAATTGCCTATGCCAAATAAACAAAAGTTAACATTTTCCTATACCGAAAATGTATTTCCAACAACACTTACCTCCTCTCATACTATAGCTTTATCCCAATGAAAGTTTATCTTTTCTGCCCATGTAAGCATTGGTATAAATATTACTTCACTTGCCCCAGCCTTTATAGCCCTCTATGTTGCCCAAAGCAAGTTAAATCTTGTGACTCTCTCCACCTACGTCAATGCCCCTTATCCCAGATCCATATATAAGCTCCCTGTTATTACTTTTTATTCACTTTTCAAGACAGTTCAATTGGCAGACCCAAAACCACCCATTATGTGGGGAGGAAGGGTGGGAGAGTATGAGAGGAGGTAAGTATTCCTGAAAATACATTTTCAGTATAGGAAAATGTTAACTTCCAAAACACACTTACCTCCTCTGATAATGTAGAGGGGCAATCAGTGAGGACAAGATCCACACAAAAAGCATCTGAGTAGAAAAGAGAGGTGCAAAAATGAGATATAGTAATAGCACACTAGTGGGGTCCACACTACTGTAACAGGTATGCTCTTCACCCAGACAACATGAAATCTAATTCCTGGGTGGTAAAGGTTGACCAGCCACAAAGACAAAGCCCTTACATTGTTAGAAGAACATGAACTTGTTCAGACCCCAACCAGGCAGCTGATATCCCACATCTCCTCATTGGAATTGTAGGGCTGTGGAACCAAATCTGGAAGAACTGCATTATATTTTCTCTTGTTTAGTAATGTGGTATTATTGGAACCCAACCGGAAAGTTACAGAATGTTGCATATTGGGCAACCGAAAATAAGATGAGAAGGCAAGCAACACAAAAGTGTACAAACCCGTGCCCCAACCTAAAGAAGTGCAAAATGCAACAAACTGAACTCGGAACTACAGGACCTGTCACACCTCACCCAACCTGAAGAAACAGAGATTACCTGGCCTGAGATTATGAACCAAAATCCTAACTCCCCAACCTGAGAGACAAGGCAACACCTCCTCCCCCCTGAATTATGAGGAGGATGTGGAACAAACTAAGTCCAACTAATAGCACAGGAATTGACGTTCTGTGTATGGAATATTCAGGAGCCGAGGGCTCTTTTCCATCAAAATAAAAAGAATGACCGTGCTCAGCTCAACCAGATAGTGAAGAGTCATCTCTGAACCTGAACAATGAGGAGGCTCCTGCTCCCACCATACATCTGGGAAACAATCCAGGGTTATTGGTAGGCAGACATCCAGCTTTGCCCTCTTCCCCTTGAGTGGGATAATGAGTTCAAGCATCACTCAGGAGGAATATACCTCTGTCTACCACTCCAGCAACTGGAAACAGGGAGTGGTAAGGGTTCCCATGCTGCACTAGGAGAAATGAGGGGGGGATACTTGCAATAGGTGAACCACATTTCCTATTTTGAAAAGCAAACTGATTCCAATTTATTCAATCTAGGGGTCAGTAGGGATGGTCTAAGTCCCCTTAAGCTTTACACATGATAGTCCTGAGTGTCACTCCATTAGCATATTTGTTTTTGTGTGATAATTGTATACCACCAGGAAAGCGCACAAGATTGTCTTATGGAACACCCCATCTCTACAGAGCTCATTGCTACCAGGAAAGTTTTTTATTGGTTAACAAGTAGTTAGTACGGATTTGGAAAGAAGCATACCTGATCAGGTAACACCCGCCAATGAGTGGGACCCAAATGAAATTGGTAAAATGGTCCCTGGAAAAGAAAAAAAATAAACACAAAAGAAATGAAGTCACTCATCTCTCTGATGAATTAACCAGGGCATGGAGAGTAGTCATGGTGGTAGCCAAAAGCCTTCCAAGTAGGTAATTGCCAAATCATGTAAATAATAATATATAAATGTATTAGGCATGGTCCACATACCAGTTTGTACAATCTCCTCCAGCGGGTGGTGCAACTGAGCTGCCAAGGAAATCAAGATATGGCAAACTTGATAAGATAAGACTTGAAGAAGTCACTGCTCCTTTAATGTAAACCCAGAATAAGCAATACGAACTGACGAATGCAACCTGTCAAAGCGACAGGGGATAAGTCACATGACACTGTACGATCCCAATGGAGAAAACAAGGGTGACTTGAACCCCAAACTCCTTTAGTGCATGCAACATAACATTGAAGGGTGACCTGTACTAAACAGACTGTCACTACTTCCCTACTTCTCACCATATTGTTCTAAACCCAACCACAGAAGAATTTTCCAAAGCCCACCAGCCTAGCAGCTGGAAACTGATAAATGGCAAGGGTCTCTTGTGTCCCACTTGAAGAGAGGGGTGGGAGAATTTGCATTGGGGAGATCCAGAGAACTGCCCCAGATCCCCATCAATCCACTTGCCAGAAAACAGTGCAATGAATGACCATAGAAATCTATATTCAAATGCCAGCAAGCTTGAGCCATAAAAGTGAGCAGTTACTTCCTTTATACCAGCTTTTTCCATGACAGTCCATGAAATTGTACATTCTAGATTGAGCAACTGAGTAATTGTATTGTATACCACAAAAATACCTCTAGCAATCTTGCAGAACACCCTATCTAAACAGTAGAGCAAAGGAGATGGTTTGATAACTTTCCATTATCCCTGGCCCTATGCAGATTTGGAAAATATGCATGCCTTGGAAGGCAACACCAGCCAGTATCCTGTTAGATGGAAAGGGTAAGAATAAGAAACATACTTACCCAGCTAAAAGATGATGGGCAACTTGAAAAATGTCGACCTAGGAAAAGTTGAAATTCTGCAGGAGAAGAAACAGCCAGATGATAAAAACAATGATCTCCCCACATGTTTGTTGTCCACCTAAAGGATCTCAAAGGGATCTTAAAGGGCCAGAAAAATGAGAACAATAGAGTAAGACAGGTTATGAATCTGATGTGAAGGAGATGTGAAATAGTCTGTGATCATCAATGCATAATGAAGAATATGCTAACCAAAGGAGTTGATAGACCCACCCATGAGGGTAGAAGAGGAGATGTTCCTGGAAGAGGAGGGGGTCACGGGGTCAAAACAAGCATTAGCAGGGACTCCAAAAGGGAAAGATGAATGATAAGTAACACTGAAAAGCCCAAAACTGACATAGGAGCTGATCCATAGTGAAACAATCACAGAGGTGAGAGACAGAAGGAAAGGAGATAGGAGAGAATGTACAGTCATCTTCCCAAGTGGCTGAAGTCTAGGAAGTCCAGGTAGAGGAGTAAATAAGTGCAGTGAAAGAGAGTGTGAGAAGCATAATATCCAAATGATGGCAACAACAGGCAAGAAGGAGGTGTAAATAAGTCTTGAGAGAAAGGTTGTCCAAAAAGCAAAAAGCCAAGGGCTAGAACAGGACATATATGAGTGTGTGCAATACCACATTGAAATCCCAGTCAGGCATAAAAAATGGACGAAGTAGGTGGGGATGAAAAAGGGATTGGAATGTAGTAAAGAGAACAGAGAAAGAAAAACACCCTTTCATATTGGGAAATATAGTAGATAAGACCACTTTATAGCCAGCAACAGTGGAGACCAACAAACCATGGTTGAACAGTACAATGGCCAGAAGGAAGGGAGTGGCAGATGTACCAATGATGAAAAATCTGCAACTTATGTTCATAGATCAAGTAGTAGATCAACAGAAATAGGACAAGGAGAAAGTTACACAATTAGAGAGTTCTGCCTAAAGGGTGATGGACCAAACAAGTTCCACACATGAAGATGTAGCGAACATATTCCTGGATAAAAAATGGATCTGTAAAGTTGAAGCGATATAGAAGGAGACACTGGGTAGAGTAAGGAGGTCTGGGTTTTAACTGTAAAAGCAGAAAAAACTAAGATTGAGCTGACCAAAGAGGCATCACCAGTGGGACACAACAAGAAGTATTGCATATCAAGGCAAGAACCTAAGGAAGGAGTCAATGAAAAAGACAGGCATATAGGAAAAGGTGAGATCAGTCTTGGCTAAGAGCACTGACAGCCAGAGTCTAAGGAGTGAAAAAGATATCTATGAGGGGTGTGCCAAGCCGAGAATAGATCCAAAGAAATATCTGGGAGTGTATAGACCGCTCTGTAAGCAGAATGCAGTCTGGCCAAAAGTAGTGGTCTGCCACAAGGTGCATAGCTCCTAGCACATAACTAGTGACAAGCCCAATTGGAATGAGCCCAGAATAGGAGGCTCAACATCCAAAAGCAAAGAGTCATGGGACAAGTCCCCCTTCATGGTTGATGTAAGAAACGACCATGGAATTGTCAGATTAGATCATGACCAAATGGTCCACCAGAAAAAGTATGAAATAGGAACAATCCCAACAAACAGCAAGAAGTTTGAGCACATTGATGTGGAGGGAACTCGCATCCTAAGTTCAAATGCAAGAAGTAATTTCATCATTCAGAAATGAGCCCTAATTCGAGAAGAAAAAC